GTGGCTCTTCTCTGGACTCTCTCAAGCTTCTCCACATCCTTTTTGAATTGTGGAGCCCAAAACTGGATGCAGTACTCCAGCTGCGGCCTCACCAAGGCTGAGTACAAGGGGAGAATGACGTTCCGGGATTTGCCTGAGAAGCATCTATGGAAGCAAGCCAGTGTTTTGCTCGCTTTACTAGCTGCAGCATCACACTCATTTGACTCCACTACAGCCTGCTTGTACCAAAGCTGAAAATAATGGGATCCTGATGGAAAAATAGATATCAAGATCCCACCTCTTCATCCCCTTCATAACACTATGGATCACTTCCCTTCCTACCAGTAAGCACATAACCACACTCTGGCAGCAAAACTTGTTTATGTAGAAGTAATGTAATTCTTGCTTCTTTCAATGGAAGCATGGAAAAGGTATCAAAGTTATGTGGACACCCAACTCTTCCTTGGTCGGTCATCACTATGTAGCTTGCAGTTTGAGAATGAGAGTAATGTCAGTTCAATGGACAGTGTGTTTAGAGAGACCCAAATATCAACTCTTCTAGAGCTTTTGTAGCACCCTGTGCAGACTTAGCTGTGAATTAGTAAAAACTGCAGACAAGAAGATGGTTTTACCATAGTTTCTGGAAGAGTACTGCTACAAAGGAGGAAGAGGAATCTTATCCTAAATGGGCATGTCTTTTACTTGTCACCTATATTCACTGTTCTGGCCATGTCCAAATTTCACTTAATTTTTGAAAATGCTATTTCTTATTGTGCAATGCATTCATACCTTTGTGTCCCATGAGCATATCCTATTTCCATGACTGTCATGGTTCCTAATGCTCCCTGTGCTAAAGTTCTCCTCCTCCCCAAAAACAAACAATCAAAAAAACCCCCCAAAACAAATCATGAAAACAAATTCAAATCCTCAAACAGTGCTCAGTTTACTTTCATATTGCAATATTTGAAGTTATTCAGGTCCTTTTGGTACCTGGTGTGCTGTGAGCCAAAAGGACTTCCTATGATAAGTACTATCTTCTTACTTTTAACTAAAAGGGAACATGAATTTTACCTGTGGCCACAAATCAGCTTGAATTCTACTACAGGGAGGGTTTTTTGTGGGTTTTTCTTTTTTCTTTTTTTCTCACATGTAATAAAATGGATCACAAACACTAGTGTCTAAAGTCCCCATGCCAGACATTTGTCCATCTGTTCAGTTCCATCCCCATGTAATATTTGCTGCTGCATTTCTTTCCTTTTGGAGGTTTTTTTTTACGTTGTTCAGAAAAAATGTGCAACATTTGAATCAGAACTCACTTCATATCACAGTGAATCTTTTTGAAATGGTCTCGCAAGCTAAAGCAATTTATTTTTGCATTAACATAAATTGCAATTATATTTCAGCAACAAGGGGGAAGAAAGCAGACCTGACTCACCTCTTTCTGGTGCTATTTCTAGCTCCTATGTGTATTAAGTAAGGAAAGATTTACTTCAAAATAATTTAGGCAGGAGCTGGGAATGTGAGTTACGCTGCAAAAGTCAATTAAATCAAGGTATTCAACATATTCTACTGGACTAGCAGTGAATCATCTCAAAGCTCAGTGCTCTTATATCCTTGGAGTTCAGTAGTGCTGACTGAAGCAGTCCTTTTACAAAGAAATCTTTTTTCTAGTAATAGATACAGCAATCAAGTGTAGACAGTGCTGATGCCATTTTAATGTGTTCACTGCATTGCTTGAATTCTGCTCATTTTAGAAAATTTAGGATTTAGTTGGTAGACTAAGGGGCAAACTCTGCTTTCAGCATGCCAGATTAAAGTTAGAGTAACTTCATTACAATTAATTGAGTTACTCTGGCTTCCTATTACTGGAAAAGCTGGATCTGGCATAAACCTTTTTTATTTTACAGCTGAGTGTTCAACAAAAATTAGTAAATGGCACCTAAAATTGCTTTATATATCCACCATATGCTATTCTATAGCTTTCTGCACAAATCCTACAACACCCTCCTAGAGAGATTTAAGGAAATAATAATATATAGGAAATGATGAGATCTCAAGTTTAGTTGTGCAAGAAATATATGTATTGTGGACATTAAAGACACATACTGCTATCTAGTGGCAAGAACTGGTAGTTATAATAGATAGCAATTAAAACATTCCAGTGATTATAGCACAATAGCAGCCTTTATATATTCATATTTTTTTCTAGAGAAAATTTGCCCTTAGGCATGATCTGGCAATAAACAACAACTAAGTCTTTGTAGTTATCCCTATGATGAGATAAGAAGTAGCCCTTGAAACTGGAAAAATATCTGGATAGTAAATAATTCTTATGCTGTGAAATGGTATTTAGTGGCTGTAACAACTCTTTACAAAGTAAGACAAATTGTAGGAAAAACAAACTTTACGGTGAATGAATGCAATTAGGAATGGATATTGATGATGTAGGTCTCAAATTTACAAGGTATTTCTTAAAAGAAATTAAAATAACACCTCTTAGTCAAATTGTTTGCAAATTAATCAGATAAATGGTTTTCATTATACTTGTGATTTTTGGGGGATTAAACTAAGAGAAAAGTTAGTACTGGTACTTGTTTTCAGAAATGGAAAGTGGTGGAAGATTTAACTTAGAAATTCAATAAGGGATATAAGAAGGTTACAGCAGTCTCCTTTCAAAAATATTCAGAAATGGAACCACTGGTAGAGAATGCACACTTGTCTCTTGTTATCAGCAGAGAGGTCAATGAGAAGTAAAGATTAAAAAGGACCATGTTCTTCTGTTGCAATCAATCTAGCCCCCTGTCTGACATGACAAGCTTCAGTGTACCAGGGCTAAGTACAAAAATCCAAAAATCTGAGGCTGAATCAATTCAATCGTTGCAGGTTAATCTAACCTGTGAGACTGAACCAATAAGCAAGTGAACAGACATTCACTTTTTATTCCAGAGATGCAGCCACATGCCTGCAGTGGCCCAGGCCAGATGCTGGAGGGTGCTAAAGTAAGTCTCCCTGCTCAGTTGAATTAGCTGAAGCACACAACTTGAGCCAATAGCTCACCCACCCTCCGGGGGGGTGGAGAGGGTGTGCAGGGGAGGTGCAAAGCATCTTGGGATGCTGGGAGGCTGAGAGTTAACTTGAATTTGGAGGGCATCTGAGACAGAAGTTCAGTAAACCAATTTAATCTAAATCCAGTTAAGTCTGATACTACATCCATCCAAGTTTATCTTAAACCACTTCGGCCATTTTGAAAGCGGTTTATGTGCACTGAACTTCTGTTGTGTTACAGAGTTGAACACTTCTGTTGTGTTACAGAGTTTCTGATCACTTATACTGCTTTGTGTGTAATTACTGTCCCTAGCCCAGGCGTTTGAGACTCTAAGCTGGAGCCCCCCACCTCCCTCCCCTCACCCCACCACTGACATATCCTGCCTGAAGAAGCTGTCATGTTTAGACTCTCGGGGCTGCTTACAAAGACCACCCAGAATCAGCTGCTGGTAGTTCCAATATGGATCCCTTCCTCAGCTAGAAGGAGGCAATAGTAGCCAATCAGGGCCTAGCAGGTAAGGTAAAAAGTACTGCCTATTTATTCAAGAACCCATTTTGGGGTGAAAGATGAGGAAGGACCTTACTTCTTTTTTACCCCAAAATGCCTGGCCTGTACTGGGGCCTAACACTTTGATTGTGACAGTGAAAAATTACTGTGTTATGTTGTGGAATTTAAAACACAGGCCCTACTTTGAGTTAGGTATCAGCTGACTGTGAAGACATTAAACAGAGTTTCACCTCTGGTTCAGAAGAGGTATGATAGGACCCAAACACAGCTTGATTTTATATGTTCTATGGAGTTTTTAGATCTGTTGCTTGGGTGACTTGTAACTATGGTAATACATGGAAATAGTCTTATTTTCTTCTTAGTAACCATGAATGCAGTTTCTAACAAGAGGTTGCTTAATTTTACTACTGTCATCAAATATACAAAAACTACTACCCAAAAATTCAGAGAACTTGGAAGAAGCTGACTAGTTTATTCTAAAGGTTCACAGTTGCCTTAAACAGCAAGAAGATGACAGACTCACATAAATATCCTGGGTTCAGTGGTCAAAGTTGCTGTCTAAACACTGTAAAATTTCATATTTGCTAGATGTGTAATGATCCATTTTCCTCCCCCATTTGATCTTCTTGCAAATTGGAAATCTATGGACAAAATTCAGTGTAATGAGAAATAATTTATTGAGTCTGGATCCCTGTAATCCAAATGAACATCAAAAGTCAGACACTGACTGGCTCTCTGGGGCTCAAGTGATCAGAGCAGGGAACTTTTGTCCAAGCTCACTGTCCCAGGCATTGGGGGACAGGAGACCCTCCCTGCAGTAGGACTGGGGATGGGGGTGACCCGCCCCTACAAGAAAAGCCCTAAAACCAGGGAAAATTTACCAATTTCAGGACACAAGGAGATGGGTGAGCCATGCCAGCAGAAAACACCTGTGAGGTTTGTGAGCTGCCCTTATTTCCAGCTGGAGCCAGCATGGGTGGAGGACATCATCCTAGGACACCGCCTGGCTGGAATAAAAGCCGGCACCAGGAAAGACACGGGGGAAGCAATGCAGGCAGCAGATGGTGAGGGTGCTTCCCATGCTGGACACAAACAGCACTGGCGTGCAATGAGGGACAAGGTGTCAGGAGTACAGGAGAGGTCCTCGGCAGGTCCACAAGTAACAATGATGGACTAGTGGAGCCACTGGCATCGGGTCTGTGAGTGGGGACAGGCTGCGACTCTCCCACTTTAGCCTACCATCAAAGTTCCTTTTGTTTGTTTGTTTGTTTTTTCCTTTTGCCTCTTTTTTTTTTTGCCAGGGATGGCACAGAGAGGCCCTGAGGTGAGGGCTGGGGCATAGGCAGTGCTCCAAGAACAGGAGAAGCCTAGGAACCAGAGCAAAAATTGGGTAGACGTTAAAGACATGTCAAAAGACCAGGGCAGCTCAAATGCCCCAAGCGTACAGTGATAGAGAGAAGTCAACTATAGCCCAGTTAATGAGATGAGCGGGGATTGATGACACCAGAGGGAAAGCTGTACTTAGACCAAGTGGCCCATCCTGGAGGGTGGCGTATGGAAGGGGATACCCACCAAGGGTCGTGGCCAATCTGAGGGAGTCCTCAACAGGGGAACCCACCACTGAGGATACAATCAAAGTCATGGCAGGCGAGTTTCTGGGCTTTCTCCGGGGTGACTGAGGACCCTTCCAGAGATCACCGGAACTCACACAGTGTCCAACACCAGGCACATGTGCCAAAGCGGCACACGAGCATATTCTTGAGACCAAGTGGGCACACTTACATACTTCACTTTGGCCTTGCCTACCTCTAATACAGATAGGGCAGGATGGCACTTTTAGAAACTAACTGCTTCAGAGAGGCATGAATTTAGATATGCAATACCTACTCAGTATCTGATAGACTTGGCTGTTGCCTGTGAAAGCTTATGCATCCCTAAAGCAGTTAGTCTCCAAGGCGTTGCCCATCCTGCCTTCTGCCTGACTTCAGACTATCATGGCTGATTAGCTCTCAGATAAAGACAAGGTATAGCAGAATCATAATACTGACTTTGACGCTAAAGACCACTGGCTGCAACCCACCCAAGTCCTGAAGCTAGCAAACAGCACCTCCACAAGCAATGTACCCACTATCTTCTCTAGGATAATGCTGATACATAAGGCTCATCACATCATTACATCTTAGTAAGATGAAACCCAAAAGATAATTAAGGTTTATCTGGAGTTTTCACTGCAGTTTTTAAGAAGAGATGTCCTATTTCTTAGGTATCTACTTCCTAGAGGCTCTAGAGGCTGTCTTGAGAATAGGTATACTGTTTTTTTTCTGTGTGATTCTACAATGCCTAGCACACGGGGAGTTCTACAGGAGAAAGAAAAATTAACCAGGTGACAGATATTAGTTATGGAACTTGCTGTGATGAGAAGATGCCACTGTTGTACACATCAGCTGAGTTTTATGCAGGCATGACCCGCTGGCTGTCAGCCCACATAAATGGCTTTATTTTATAAAAGGTTTTCAATTTTTAATTCCTGAATAGTAAGTATCATTTCAGGGTTCTTAAAAACTACTCAGATAGGCTGAGGCAGAGATATTTATATATTAATATTTTTAGATATTGCACCTTCATTGACTCAAAGTTAAAGCATTTTGGTTTTTAAAATTCTCACATCGTATGCATGAAATTTAATTTTCACTGTAATTTCATAAAAACTATTGTGCATATGTTCAAGGTCTCCCTTGTTGCATATTCATTAAAAGGAAGTAAAAAAAAACTAACTTCTTTAAGTATGTGAAGTATGATGGTTGGAATCTTCTCCATCGTATAAAGTTGAACACAAGGATTGCAACCTTGCTTCTGCTGGGTAGCTGTGATACTCTGAGATTGATCCAGAGGCTGAACTTCATAACTGCTGTTAATATTTGTATTGTTAAACAAATATTCTAATGCACTTGAAGTTGCAAAGTCTCATCTATTCATTCAAATGTATTGTGTACAGAGTAATTTTGTAAACATTGCTGTATCCCAGTTGGGAAGCGAAGGAGAAGGGTTTAATGTATTTTCTGTAAAATATGTATTTGGAAATTGAACATGGTCTGGAACACCCAATGTTAAGTTGCATGCTAGAATAAAATGCCAAGACTAAAGCTTCTTTGCATGTACTGTGGTGCTTGTAATCTCTGTAGTACCACAGTGAAGTGTGGGGGGAAAATCTATTAGGTCATATTACCCAGCTTTTACACATTGCATTATGCCAGATCAGGGGCAACAATGAAATAATAGGAAGACACATGATCAAAAGATAAAACTGGGCTCTGAATACATGCAAAACCAAAGCAAAATTCATTTAAACACTGATATTTTAAATCTAGGATGCATGGTGCCTGCTATAAATGGTAAAGGAAAAATCCTTTTCTGAGATCTGTTTGACAAATCTAGATTCTCAGCAGCACTCAGAGAACAACATTATACCTGTGAATGATAGAAGCAAAGCTCTCAGAAGCCCTCTACTGGCAGCATAGCTGCAATGGGTGGAAGAAATTTGCCAGCAGTCTACCAGCTAGGGCTGTGTGATCTTTCCACACACCAAGGCATCTGTGGTGTAGGCCACACCAAATACATCTGCTGACACTCATCAGGATTGTTTAGGTATCTAGGGTTTCCAAGAAACAGAAACTTTCTCAGCATAATCTCATGTCCCTGTCCTGATCCCACCAAAGTAAAGATGTATGGATCCAAGAAACCCTAGGCATTGATTCTGCTACATGCAATGATATATGGATGGCAATGGCTCACATGCAGGTAGAGTGTTGCACACATGAACTACCAAAAGCACCTGAGAAGAATTTTGCTCCAAAACTACAGCTAAATACTTAATCATGTTCTTTGCAAAACTAAATCTGATAAGTGGAAGATGTTTTACTCAGAGTGAATTTTGAACTTGTTCAAGTTGACCCTGTCTTACAGTAAAGCTTATAGAACACAAAGCATATTAAAAGTTTGTTAGACATACCCTGTACTAACCTAGTACTTTCTAGAGAAACTCTGTCTATACCAATGTCTATGCCTATGTCATATTTGTTAGGAATGGAAAAGCCTTATACTTGTCCTATCTCTCCATACACTTTTTAAGCACTATCCATGCTGCTTTAAAACTTCTATTTTTACCAAAACAAAAATTCCACTGTAGAATCATAGAAAATTAGGGTTAGAAAGGACCTCAGGAGGTCAACTAGTCTAACTCTCTACTCAAAGTAGGACTATCTTCAACTAGACCATTCCAGCCAGGCATGGGCAACTGGAGCCTCCAGAGTTTTGGGGGGGGGGAGGGAGGCACCAGTAACTGATTGCCGACCAGAAGTAGGGTCCCCCCAGTGGCCGATCGCAGTGCTAGTGGCAAAACTGCTCTCAGTGCCACCGGTGCTTCTCAGTGCTGGCTGGCACTAATCTCAGGGGGACATCACCCGGCACTTCACTTAGCATCCCCACTCCCCAGTCAGTGACAGCCAATCTCAGGGTGGAGCACATGCCCCTCTATGCTTCCCCTTTGTGTCACCTATGCATCCAGGACTTTCTTGAGGCAGGCCTTAAAACCTCCAAGGATGGAGATTCTACCATCTCTCTAGCTAGCTTGTTCTACTGCTTCACAACCCTCCTAGTGAGGAAGATTTTTCCTCATGTAACCCTTCTGCTGTGCACCAGTTGGCAGCAAGAAGGGCCGACTTCACATTTTGGGGTAGCCCATAAATTATACCATTGGCTCGAGCCCCCACCCAGAAGTCTGGGAACACTAAATTTGCTGGGGTATCCCATATTCCCCACTCCTTGCAAGAAGTGTAAACACAAAAAAACCAAGTTTATTATAAAGAATAAAAACAAAAAAAAAATCAAAAGAAAACACTAAATATAATTTAAAAACATATTAACTACAAAGCAAAGTCTGTAGCTTGGGGAAGCTTCACTCATGCCCAGACAATCTGGAGCTTGTGCCTCCCCAAATGGTAGCTCCAGGGGCCTGCACCCCTATATCTGCCCATCAACAATGGGCTGGAGAGGGGGCTCATACCAAAGTCCTATGAGCTGCTCTTTAGGTTCACTGCACTGCGGGGAGCTGATCAAGAGTGTGGGTCCTTCTGTGTTGCAAAGGGATTCATTGTTCCTGGAGAAGAGGTAGAGTGCTGACCTCTACTTCCACGTGGTGGCTTTGAGGGGTTAATTGTGGCTTTCATCAGCATACTGCACCCCAACATTTCCAGTCCCAATCCCAGTTCTGCTGGGCAGAAAACTACAAAAATACTCAAAGAAAAGGTCAGGCCTATCTTGGCTTGGACCTGAACTACAACTAGTGTCCAACCACACCACTTGGTTGGGACATAAACTATGAAAGGGATAAGAAGCCCAGGCCTATCTCACTGGGCCTGAACTGAGCAGCAAAAGCTGGCCAGGCCTATAGTGCACTGAGGTCGGCATCAACAACAAGAAGTGCCATGTCTCACCCTGGCTCAAGCCGTGCCAGGTTTCACTCTGGTCCAAATCTGCCAGCCAAACATATGGCTGGGGTTCAGCCACACAGCTAGATGGAAGCGCAGTAGCTGTGAAAAAGCTAAGAGGGCCCAGGCCAATGGCTGCAGCCTGGACATCCAGTCACAGCTGTACCATTATGCTGAGACACTACAGTTACAAAGCAGAGGGGGCCAGGCCCATGTGGCCAGTAGCTGCCAGGACCCCATTCCTGGTCACTCTGCTCCAGGAATTAATACCCCCATGGTGTTGTCCCAATCAAGGCCTGTGTGGTCAAAACTGCCAGAAAGACTAGCAGGACAGGTACAGGACTCTATTTCTGTGTTCAGTTTGCTCCAGGGATTAATACCCCCATGGTATTATCCTATTTAAAAACAAAGAGGGGTGGGGGGGATAGGGGTCTCAAACTCTAAGACAGACTTTCTCTTTCTATACCTGAGACATTCCCTTCACATAGCTTTCACTCACCTCTCCAACGAAAGCAGGGGGAGAGGGGGAAAGGAGGACACTCCCCCCCCCCCAGTGGGAAGCAGTTTTTCTGGCTCACAATTTATCTGTGCAGCTCTTAGCAGTCCCAGGAGAAAAAGAAAACCTTAGTTGAGTTGTTCTTATATACCTGGTAGGACATCTCCGAAGCCTTGTCTAATAAGGGAGTGCCATTCTCCAGCCTCTCTCTTACTCAATATACCTGGAGAATCTTCTGCTTCCTCTGGCCAATGGGCCCAGAGCATTTTACATATTTTGCTCAGAAACTAGTCCCAGCTTTTCACATACAGAGCACGTGGCCAGAACAGGGGCTATCTTGCCCACATAAAGAACAAAAACAAACCAAAGCACATGCACACACACACAAACCACAATATACAACAACCAAAAGCACACACTTTACCATACACAACCCAAGTATGTGTGGGTTTTACACTAGTATCCAACCTAAACTTCCCCTGCTGCAACTTGTGACTCTTTGTTCTGAGAACAGGCCAGCTCCCTCCTCTTTGGACCCCCCCTTCAGGTACTTAAAGACTGCTATCAAATCACCTCTCAGTCTTCTCTTCTCCAAACTAATTAAACACAGTTCACTCAACCTCTCCTCATAATTCGAGTCCCAGCCCCCTAAAATTTTTTGATGCTCTCTGCTTGACTCTCTCCAATTGTCCACATCCTTTCTATAGTGGGGGGGCCCAAAAGTGGACACCGTACTCCAAATGTGGCCTCACTAGTGCATAATAATTATGCACTGGTGAGGCCAAATCTGGAGTACTGCATCCAGATGTAGACAATTATACGTGAAGAATAATTACTTCCTTCATTCTGCTGGCAACATTCCTACTTTTTCCAGGGACAGAGATAAGGCTACTAGTGCAGCCCAATATGCTGTTTGCCTTCTTGGCAACAAGGGCACACTACTGACTAATATCCAGCATATTGTCCACTGTAACCCCCAGGTCCTTTTCTGTAGCCTGAGGCTTAGTTAATCAGTCCCCAGCCTGTCTTGGTGCATGGGATTCTTCTGTCCTAAGTGCAGGATTTAGCACTTGTCATTGTTGAACCTTTTTGCCCAATCCTCCAATTTGTATAGGTGAACTCTAAATCCAAGCCATACCCTCCAGTGCATCTACTATACCCTGCAGCTTCCTGTCATCCACAGACTTGCTAAGGGCACAATCAATCCCATCTTCCAGATTGCTAATGAAGATATTGAACAAAACTGGCCCCAGAACTGACTCCTGGGGCACTCTACTTGATACTGGCTGCCAACTAGACATTGAACCATTACTACCCATTGAGCCCAACAATCCAGGGAGCTTTCTGTCCACCTTACAGTCCATCTATCCAACCCATACTTCCTCAGTTTGCTTGCAAGAATTCTGCGGGAGATGGTATCAAAAGCCTTGTTAATGTCGGGTATACTATGTCCACTGCTTTCCCCATATCCACAGAGCCAGTTATTTCATCATTGAAGGTGACCAGGGTAGTCAGGCATGACTTGACCCTGGTGAATCCATGTGGACTGTTCCTAATCACCTTCTCCTCCAGGTGCTTCAAGAATAATTCCTTGAGGACCTGCTCCATGATTTTTCCAGGGACTGAGGTGAGGCAGACTGGCCTGTAGTTCCCTGAATGTTCCTTCTTCCCTTTATTAAAGATGGACACTATGTCTGCCTTTTTCCAATCATCCAGGACCTCCCCCAAGCACCATGAGTTATCAAAGATAACAGCCAGTGACTCTGCAATCACATTAGCCAACTTCCTCAGCACCCTCAGATGCATTGTATCTGGCCCAATGGACTTGTGCATGTTCAGCTTTTCTAAATAGTCCGCAACCTGTTCTTTTACCTTCTCCCCAAACTGTGCTGGCCAGAGCAGTAGTCTGGGAGCTGACCTTGCCTCTGAAGACTGAGGTAAAAACTGCAGTGAGTACTTCAGCCTTCCACATCCTCTGTCACTACATTGCCTCTCCCATTCAGTAAGAGACTGTGGCAGGGCTGGCATGGATGCTGTGCCTCCGGACTTACCAGAAGTGCCACTGTGAGCACTGCTGCAGTCAGCACTGGTGTAAGCACTAGAAATCAAGCAAAGACTGCCCCCATCGTGTGCACACTTTGTGTGCATGTGCCGATGCCAGTTCGCTGGCTCAGCTCCAGCAGGAAATTTTCAGCCACAACGCATCATTCCCATGGAAGCAGTTTCCCGGCAGTAGCTGGAACAATGTGGGGAGAATTCGTGCTCTGGAAGGGGCGATTGGTGGTGACCTGAGACAGAAAGGCCAGCAGTGAGACATCAGAAGAGTCATACAACTCACCCGAGCGAGGCTGGTGGGATCTGAGTAGCAGCAAATCAGACTGGAGTTCCACTGGACCTGAAAGACAAAAAGAGACAAAAGGCTGGTGAAGAAAACTGAGTGAAGAGCAGGAGTTGAGGCAGCTGCACCTCCAATCCTCCTTATTGTGGGATTACTGTGAATGGGACTGTGTCAAGAAGTAAGACAGGATATAAAAAGGAAAAAACCTCTGACCATATCACAGAAGAATAGTGAAGGCCAGAGAAGGCACATTTCATGTTAAACCATCGGGTTGGTGTTAGGCAGGGTATAGGGGAGTCGGATCCCCATATGTACATGCCAAGTGCTAGGATCACTACACACCAGTGAACTAGACATTAACATCCCCTTCTAATACTTAGTGTTATCAAAGTCATAGCAGATGAGAAATTTTGGTGGTTCTGGTAGTTCGGCTTGAGGAAAAAACTGTTGACCCGTAAGCCAGAAGACAGCACAGCCCATGTCATAAAACCTAGATGGGGTGCTAAAGATACACATGGAAAATTACAGGGACCACACTTTCCCTGACCTTCCTCTTCTTGCTAAGAAACTTGTAAAAACCCTTCTTGTTACCCACCAGTCAAATACCTTTTTGTGATTATCTATGCATTTTTTAAAATCAGCCTTTTAAATTTTATTTGCTTGTTCTATTTAGAAAGTGGTGGTGATGATGATTATTCATACTAAAAAGATAGGTTTGTCTTTCTTAAAGATGGGCACAGTATTTTTCCTTTTCTAGTCATCTGGGACCTCACCCGATATCTACAAGTTCTCTGGTAATAGTTCTAGAGTAGGGCTGTGTCACACATTGGGGTCCCAGGGATGGCTGTGACACCCCCTGGTGGCTACACAACCATGCCCCACTTCTCCCCTAGGGTACCTTCCCTTGTTACCCACCACACATTGATGGAAATATAATAATAATAATAATTATTATAATAATTATAATAATAATAATAATAAAGCTGCCCACAGGACTTCATGTGGCTTCAATCCAACTGGACCCCCAACGGGATTCCTCAACATCCCACTTTTCTCTACTGCTCCCAGGCCCCTTGCTGGGCCTCTCTGGTTAACTGTGCCCTGCAGGGCACCTATAGCCTTGATGAAGAATTGCATGGCTCCACTCCTCTCCTACACTGTGCCCCATGCCTCATGGGTGTTATTGTATTGTTGTTTTCCTCTTGGGGCTTTGGCTTTCTCCTCCTTAGTCTAGCTAGGCCTTCTAGCCTGGCCCTACTGTATTACACTTGGCTTTCAAGCACTAGCTCTGGTCTAACACTTTCAGGTACTGGGCCCCTGGCCCCTGTCTGCCAAGCCCTGAGTCCCTGTGTGATTGCACCTCCCTTGGGCACCAGGCCCCTGTCTGGCCCTGTGGCCTGGAACTCTGGCCCTCTCCAGGCTCAATAGTCATGGCAACCACATGCCCCTCAGACACTAATGGGACCTCTGGATACCACCCCTAGAGTCCCAGCCCAAACCACCAGTATAAATACAACATAAACATAAGCCTCTGGGCTATAACAGAAAAAACAAAGGGGAAACATCCCTCTGCCCCTCTAAAGGGGAAAACTTTCCTCATGTCTTCTTGTGAATTCTCTGATCTTCAGTGTTCCTGCAGGCAGCATAGCAGGAAGCCTGGCATCCCCAGGTAGCTCTCCTGGACAGGAGCTCCTTCCCTTATAGCTGCCAGGGAGAAACTAGCCTGCTAGTTCAAGTCTCAGGCTTATATCCTCCCTGCCCCCTTGCTGTCAGCAGACTGCCTGTGCTGCCTGCAGGTACTTACTAATTGACTTAATTGCCCTATACCCATGGGGACCTGCAGCTCCTGCACCCCACCTGGCCTGCAGCGCTCCCTTGCTGGGCTGATTCTGCTTTAAAGGGACAGCCTGTGTTACAGGCTGCTAAACTTGCCAGCCTCCTGGGGTGGATCTGGACACTAAGGATCCTCATGGGTCACATCCAGATTCACTCCCAGTGGCAGAATGAGCAGTAGCAGTGGTGATACATGGAATAATGCAGGCTTTGTTCTTTCCCACCCCCTTTCTTCCAACCAAAATGCATCTTCTGTCTTTCACATCCTGGATTTAGCCTGTCCTGACCCCAGATTTTCAGATTTTCCAGGAGTCCTGTAGGCTGGATGAAATTACACTGCTGTCCATATCTTTCGCATCCCTGCTCTCAAGGTAAAGTGGAAGTAAGCTTCCAGTTGCGAGCTTAACTCTAAAAACACTTTCCCAACTTCCACCGAAAAAAGCTGATCCTGGTAAGACTTCACATATTCTGTAACTCATTCTTGTATAGAGTTTTTGGGGGGGAAATTTGTAGAGAAAAAAAAAATCAGAAAAGGCATTTTAACACTATGATGTTTACAAAATTTCCCTGTTGTCCAACTGACAATTTTCTTAACTTTTCTCAACCTGCCATATATCCAACTGTTGAACCGTCGTTCTCTTAATTAACCAAAACTGAAAGTAGTTAATTATCACTGCAAAATCACAGTCATAAGGATGGACTTTGGGATCACTCTCATTAAGTATTGACCTACAGCCTGGTCCCACTTAACACCATTATATTAATTAGGAAACACACAAGAGACTTAGAGGAATTCAGACAACAAGACTATATTGTAAATGGCAGGGTTAAAACAACAAGACATATCAAGTTATATGGATATCCAGGGACTTCATAAAGTCCTTGTGTACAACCTAAGTTATTACAGTTTAAAGTGCACAAGGACTTTATGAAGACCCTGTATATATATTGCTCCCTTTTCCCTTTTCAAGCTTCCAGCTTTTCCTCCTCCTTGAGTACTCGAAGTCCCAAATTAAAGGGGGAGTCATACTTTACCCTTCCAGGTGATCTTGTTAATGGTGGTCTCCTATGCTGGACTCAGGACTTAGCTCAAGAAATCTCTCCTCAGAGCTCTGTTAAATTTCTCACTGATCCACACAGCTAGATGGACCTACTCACTGGCTTACAATCACCTTACATACTATTTACATAACCACTATGGTGCCTCCTCACAAACTCACAACTCTCTCCCATGCAACAGCTGTCACACACTCAGCTTCATGTGCAACCCTCTTTTAAACTTTTCACTCATGCCACCTCTGTCAATCTTTCTCTCAGTCTGTCATTCCCACAGAGGTGCCATCAATCACTTGTTACTCAACCCCCTATCCACTCAGATGATTTCAGGTAAGTTTTTAATTACCTTTTCAGATTTGGCACAAACACTTGTTATATAGCTAAACCTATCTGTGCATGCCAGCATTGCCAGCTCTTAACTATGAACTTATCATTCTGGAAGCTCAAAATTATTGTATTTGCTGAAAAACTATTGTACACTGAAAATATACAAATATGTGTGCAAATAAGTCCTCTTCTGATTTACTTTATATTGCTCTCTGTAAGTCTCCAGTGAATGAATGAGAACTGGGTCATCAAAGGTGAAGCATTTCTTTATTTTGAGGCAAGCAGTCATAAAGTGCTGACAGCAATCCCAAAAGTAGGGTTAAGACTCTCTGAGAATGACTTGGGTTTTGTATATGTTGCATTAATTAGCTGCCTCAAATTAATCATATATTTTGAACACTTTTACTATTACTGATTGTAAATTGTGTAAGGGTTGAATTTATCCTACAAATATGATAATTATTGTACACCTGGCAACACTGGCATATGCTCCCAACAGAGAAACTATGTCACTATGTCCACTGTTTCAAGAAGTTAACTGGATTTGAACCTGCTAGCTCTCCACTTGACTGAGCATGTACACCACTATTAACTTATGCAGACTTCCTTATGGTTATGCAATAATACTACCACAAATAGAGGCAAGGCCAGGGCATGCTTAAATTTGAGGTCTACACAACATCTGGTCTCAAAATCCCAAATGTGATGCAAGTTTGCAGGGGGTATTTTGTGTATTATTTTTTTGAGGTGCCTTCGGCTGAATTAGTAGAGGGAGTGATGTAGAGAGGTTTTATTTACAGAGCTATGCTTAAAATGTTATAATGGGCTGCTCTTTAAAGGTCAAGTTAGAACTAATATTCTATTAAAAGGGGGAAATAAACACGAGTATCCTCCAGAGAGTTGTTAAAGGGGTATTGAGGCTGTTCCCAGTTTATGTAGCCAGCCACATGTTTATAAACTAAGCAATGCAAAGCTATGCGATTTCTTAGAGAATCCATGTGGAGCTAAGTTTAATGTTATATGTATAAGTGGAAAGAAGCAATATGGGGTGTGGGGGCCTTGAAAACAAGGTCCCATTTTTGGTTGGAGAGCTAAATAGACAAGGGAACTGTCTGCTTTCTGCTTCAGAGAAGCTGTACTTTGCAAATGGTGACATAGGCAGGGTCAACAATTCCTTATCCAAACAGAAGTCCCAAATTAAGGCTTTCTGCTGCTTGGCCCAAGGCACAACACTGTAACAAACTGCTGTTGACATCAGTCAGGGGTGTGAGACCATGGATCAAGGTAAGAAACCAGACAGCAAACACCTATGCAGGGTAAAGCATGGTTGTGCAAGGGAATGGATACTCCAATGCTGTTCTTCATCTCCAAACATCCCTTGTCCACACCATGCCCAAAGACCTCTGGAAACTTGGTATCATGTCATGCAGTGGGTAAAAATGTAGCCCCAGTGTGCATCTCAGAGAAGGTTTATATTCCTGGCATTGTACTTCAGGATTTTGGCATACAGTCCTGATGTCTTGATCCATCAAGTTTTTAATAATTCAAAAGCAAATATAAATGCTGAATTGTTCAAATATTTATGATGCTAAAACATCACTTTACTTCCTGTTTAGATGCCAAGTTGATAGCTGCTATCAGAATGTATTCTATGATACGATTAATAATAATGATACTATGAAATGAAATATCTATATTTCACTCTGAACAATGACACCCAGGGGATTCTAAGCCAGGGAGATACAGTGTCTAATCTTGCCATGGCTTGAAGTTTTGACTGACCAATCAAATTTTTGGTCTTATGAATGCTTTTTTATATGCAGTATAGCTAGTGTTCCATAGTATTCTTTGATGATCAGCATTTTGAAGCTGACATTTCATAAAGCCGGTATATTAAGAATTCTCAGACAGTTCTACACGTGTAACATTATTCTTCTTAAAGTGTGGAGAGTAGAGAGAGATTTTTCCCTAGGCTGCTGACAGGGCTAGAAAAATACCTGTAAAGTATAGTAACTTTGTTAGTATTGTACATCCCCTAGTCCTATTGAAATTATTTTTTTCCCATGTAAGAGATCCATTATCTATCTGTCCACAAGCAACAGAACTTATTGGAAGATGGTACAGAAGAAAGGGATTAGGAATGAGTCACCGCAAACAAAATCTATCATTTGTCTTTTTGAAAACTGTCATTATTCTGCTACACTCCTTCAAAAAAGGTTGCCTTTGCTGAGGCATTTTACAAAAGGCAAACAGACTCATTTGAAATAGGGCGTATGAAATGTCTCTTCCTTACATATATCATGCAGGAATATAGACCCCACTGGGAGCTGCTCCCACGATGGGAATCTGGGAGCTGTGGAGTGGAAAGGTAAGGTTGATAGGCTGCACTTTAGAGGCCAACTGTAATTGTAAGTAGCTATGAGCAAATGGGGTATATGTTTAAAAGGCGCTGGGTTGCATAACAATAGACACCTACTGGAAAATGTGAGCAGGAATGAAGATAGCAGGACAGAAGGTAAGAGGGCTGGGCAGTAGGCAAGGTGTGTAACAGACTGTGGTTGGGGAAATGAGAAAACACAAGCGGTATCTTGGATAGGCAGGGAATGAGGATACCTTACGGTAAAGAAGGGGAGGAGAGGTTATTCTATTGGAGGTGAAAGGATATGTTTTGGCTGCTTTGTTGTCTCTGCCCCAGTTACTGGTGTCCTGTATGAAGGGCCTGTATGATATCCACCACCACTGCTTTCTGCCTACCAGTTTGTTTATGTGTCACTATGGTGGGCTGCCCTGAGACTGCAGCTGTCACCAAGGAAATAGCCTCGGTGATCTGACGTAAGTGGTCAGTTGTGATTTCGAGACCACAGCAGAGCTAGTGTCATTTCTGGCTTCTGGTCCTCACTTCATAAGTTGCCTTGCTCCCTAAGATGCCAGCCACTGCTACAGCAGCAACGTTTGAAACCCCTAAATTGTTTGCACAAAATCAATATTCTGGTCCATGAGAACTGAAAAACCTTTCTGGCATCTGAATTTTCTTAGTTCTCGGGGGCAGGTGTGAGACTCCAGGGCAATCCTCAGGTATAGGTACAGTGGTGAGATGTGGAGTTAAGGAGCTATGACAGGTATGCTTCCAGGGGTCTGAGGAGCATACTTTCTACCTCCAGAGGCTCAGGAGAATGTATTACACAGAAACTCTGTTGGCTCCTGGGTGACGATGAGTGTCTGCTACTAGCAAATTCTTCCCAGCATCGCAGCATTTGCAAGCCGCCTGCTACCTACAGGTATGTAGAAAAAAAAATTAAAGCTCTGTCTATGTCCAAATCACCGAATCTTTCTGAATCTCTCTGAATCATTTCAGAGGGTTCTGATTCGATCTGGAGAAATTAAAGGGTCCTCTGATTTGATTTGGATTCAGAAATTTGGCCACTGAATTGGGCTGAATCTCCACCGAATCGAATCAGGGACCAATTTGATCAGACTGCAGCCCTGCCTCTGCCCACCTCCCACTGCCAGGCTGTGCTCCATGGGGCTGCAGAGCCACTCCAAGTGCAGCCTGGCAGCAGGAGGCAGGCAGAGCCAGGGCTGTGCATCGATCGGCTCTGCCAGCCTCATGGAGTGCAGCCCAGTGGCGGGACATGGGGAGAGCCAAGGCTGTCCTCCACCTCCCCCCATTGGGCTGAGCTCCATGGGGCTGCAGAATCACTTAGAGCACAGCCTTGGCTCTCCCCTGCCTCTTGCCACTGGGCTGCTTCAAAACGTGAAAAGCTTTGAAATTTTCAAAATGTTTCGAGAGCCCTCATACCATTTCAAAGCTGTTTTGAAGTGTTTTGTTTCATTTTGATGTCACTGTTTTGAACTTGAAACATGTCAAAACAGCTTCGAAACAACACAGTTGGCGAAATTTTGCACAGCCCTAGTGTAGAAGCCTATTTCTTCAGCATTTTTCCCACCATAAAAAAATTATGGCAGCACAAATGAGACATCAGGCAATGCCTGTCTCCACTAAAAGGTTGAAAATTAGTAACACAGAACTACAAGTGAAAGAATAGAGTTAGCCACTAGGTGGCAAAATGGTGTTTCCCTAGTTGCAGGCTAGAGTTCATTATCTTTGTTTTTACAATGTTGCTTGCTGAATGAATAATGCTTAGATAAAATATACATTATAATGATTTCTCCAGTTTCCATGTTCAGGAAAACCTTCGTTAATTTGTAGCTGAATTTACATCCTTTCAAATAAGATGATTTTTATAGCATAGTCCTCCTTCCATCTTTTTTTAAAACAAAAATGAGTAGTAAATATATGCTAGTTTGTAAACACACCTTTTTCCTCCCACCCCTTTTCCAAGTCTGATGATGGCTGCTACAAAGCAGTCCTCACCCAAAATGCTTTCAACTTCACACCCAGGGAGAAAATCCTTCACATACTTTGCATAACTCAATGGCCACATCTACACAAGGTGCTTTGCTGTGAACTAGCATAGTTTACTGGACAGTAAGCATGTGAGTCTGCAGGTGCACGTGCTTACTGTGCAGTAAACCTCACTAATTACAAGTCAATTTGCTACCTACAAATGCAAGTAGCAAATTTACTCATGATTAGTAGTGGTGCAGTAGTGCTCATGTAGATGCTGGACTGGGAGCAAATCTGCTCCCACTCAGCCAGGTACCAGGGGGCGGGATATTGCTCCCTGCCTGCTGCTGGGGGACGCTCCACCACTGGAGCATGGGCAGGGATTATATCCCCCTGCCACAGCAGCAGGATGCTGCAAGCCCCCCACTCTTAGATTGCAATTGG